ATTCAACCCTCCTATCCCACTCAGAAACTACAGGAAGCTATTTACGTCTGTAGCCCACTCTTTTTTTTTTTTTTTTTTTTTTTTTGAGACAGGGTCTCACTCTGTTGCCCAGGCTACAGTGCAGTAGCACCATCACAGCTCAAGCTCACTGCAGCCTCGGCCATCGTGGGCTCATGTGATCTTCCTGCATAAGCCACCACACCTGGCCTGAAGCCCACCCTTGCCTCGCACACTAGTCTCTGGCAAAGCAGGTGTCCATAGTTTTAATGTGAATCATGCCATATCACTTAACAACCCAAATAAGGAACACTTACAGAGTTTAATATCCAGCACTGATTGCATGAGAAAACCATGGTTGTATGCAAGCTTTCAAACACTCTTTTAAAATACATCAGATCAGTCTCTTCATTACAAGAGGAACATTTAGGAACAAATTCCTTCGGTAATGAACCTCACCTGATACCTCACGTTTTCCTGGCAGTCATTCACTCACTACCCTCCTTTCCCGGTAAGTACCAGCAACCAGGAACACACTCTCAGACATTCTCTGTATCTCTCTCTCAACTGTCCTAGAGGGCATCACCCAAGGCTGCTAGACAATAAATCTATAAGAAAAAGCCTGCTAGCCAGACATTCCCTCTGACACAATTGCGACCCTGTTGTTTCCTGAAGGTTTGGGACAGCAGATCATTCTTGGACTGAGTGTGTGAAGCAAGACTTTGCTGTCAGCCTCCAGAAAGATGACACTCGTCACATCCTGGCATTTTGAGAGCCAACCTGGCAGGAATGAGCTTCTCAATCTTACCCAGTCATCACAAGAGATGCCAGGCCTACTTTGGGTTCTACCTAAAGGAGGTCTAAGGAAATGTAGCAATTGCTTTCTCTGTAGAATCTTTGTTGGTTATTCTGAAATACTGTAACATTTTGGAGCATAAATGATAAGGGCCCAAATGATTCTTTTGACTCAAAACACAACTGAAAAATACATGAAACAAAACTATTGACTATAATATATCTGTGGGGAAAAAAAAATCTCTTGGCCAGGTGCAGTGGCTTATCCCTGTAAGACCAGCACTTTGGGAGGCTGAGGTGGGTGGTTCACTTGAGCCTAGAAGTTCAAAACAAGCCTGGGAAACATAGGGAGACCCCATCTCTACAAAAATTACAAAAAATTAGCTAGGCATGGTGGCATGCACCTGTGGTCCCAACTACATAGTAGGCTGAGGTGGGAGGATTGCTTGAGCCCAGGAAGTGGAGGTTGCACCGAGCTATGATCATGCCACTGCACTCCAGCCTGGGTGATGGAGAAAGACTATGTCTCAAAAACAAAAAACAAAAAACAAAACAAAAAAAACCTTTATTCTAGGAGGACTTCTGCCTGGAAAAAAAAACAAAAAACAAAAAACAATGACATTCGGCCTGCTTCAAAGTTTCATCAGATAATAATTAGTAATCTTCAAACACAGAAGATCCACAAGAATTAAAGAATCGGGATGCTAAAAACAACCCTAAGTTACAAAGGCAGTTTGCCTCAACACATAAATGAAACAATAAACAGAGACAAATTAGGAGGCTGCCCCAGTGTAAGTTTGGACCAGAATTTGATTCCCGATCTACACTTTCTGTATCTCTCCTAAATCCACAGCATTAAAGTTATCATTTGTAACAATAGCTCAAAGAATTTTTATTTCTAAACAGAGATTCGGCACAATTTCCACATTTATAAATATCACAGCAAAACACATTTTTGAAAGAAGGAAGAAGTTCTTGAGAATGGCTTACTGAATCTAAAGAAGCATTAAATCAAGAAAATTCATCAAACAGCTGACAATGCTATATTATTATTAATAAATAACATTTTTTCTTTGTGATCAAGTTAATAACATAATGGTATACAATTTTTATTCTAAGGGAAACTGCCCAGTTAGGTTTAAAAACAAAACAAAACAAACAACAACAAAACAGATACCTTACTCTGTCAATCAAGTAGCCACTACAGTGGTCCTTCTGGTCCTTACTCAGAGGTAAGTATGATATAAAGGCTATGCTAAAAACCATCAAGCTTTGAGATCTTCAAACTCAGCCAAAAGTCATTGACTTTAGGCTGCTCCACTTTTTACCAACCATGCTGGGCTTCCACATTGCTGTCCATATGCTGTCATAAAGTGACATGTTCTGGCTACCAATGCCTCCACTGTCAACACCCCAATAGTGGGGATGAACAAAAAGACAGGGCTGTTTAACTGGACAAAGCCCAACTCAGCCAATTCTTTGATCTTTCTTTTTTTAGAGACAAATACCTAAGACTGAGAAGGCGGCATTCAAATTCACAGTTTTAGCCTCAACAAGGACATTACTGACTTCACTTAATGTAAAATAAAGATGTTGGATAATCAGGTATTTCTTAGGTATGTTCTCAGCTTTGAAATAAATGACAAAGCATAAGAGGGGAAGAATCTTAAGAGAATTATTCCTATTACAAAAGCATTTCATTCTACAAAGGGATTCACAACAGACTTTTAAAATCATGTTATACATTATAGAATACTGCAAAGGAAAAAGACGTATATATAATATGCTAGAAAGGGATTGAAAGTGAGTTGTAGCAGTGATAATATTAAATGGTTCTGTTTTATTGATTCAGGCCCTTGATGGATGCTACTGAGATGAAGGTCATAGGTTGGATCCCAGGATACGTCATTTAGGTTTGAGAAGAAGAGAAACCTACAGAACTTCTAACTCTAGATACAACTAAATTGTAGATTTTCAGAGAATTGAGAAGGTCTGAATGGTTAAAGACAGAGCTGTCACAGGAAGAAACAAAGCAGACAGTATTCCAAAAGTCAGTAGCATTCTATGACTTATGTGCCATATTGGATTATTATTCTGAACATTAACCATAAACTTTCACTTTCCATACAGGCCATTAAATCTCTTCTACTTAGATCAATGGCCTGAAGGAAACTGACCAACTCACTACATATCAATATGAAGACATTTGCTGTGACTGACAATTGAAAGCAGCTCACCCCTTTGTGTAAACTGTTAGTCAAGTCATGGGATTCTGGGGAAAAATTTTTAAAAAGAAAAAATGTTAGAAGAGGAAAAATGAACTTCCAGTTTTCAACTATATTAATGTTTATCTTTTTAAAGGCTGAGACAATCTAAGTACAAAACCATCTCCATTCTAACAAATTAATTTTTTTAAAACACAGTGAACAGCCTGGAATCAGCATAGAGAAGGAGGATGTCAGGAAATTTCAGCTTTTTGTGCACAGATCATGCTTTTGTTCTCCAACACATAAGACTGCACATCTCTTTCAAATGCATTAGCTGTATAAAAGTGAGCCCAGCCAGAATTTATCAGACACAATTTATCGGAATTCAGCAATTGTGTGTAGATCCCCTACTATGTGCCAACATAGAGCAACCTGCTATCCCTGAGTCTGCTTGTTTCTGGAAAGAATACAAAACAGAATAAGTTCATATTTTCTTTAACCAAACATTTGCTCTAAAGGTAACTCTACACCTGCAAACACACCCACTTTTTCACAGTGAGCCATAGCACTGCATGGGATCAATGACACATCTGTATTAGATTCCAATAATTTTAATATATGTCTTTAAGTCTGTTGCTTTGTGCATGTCAATTTCTGCAGGCCAACAGCTGACTTCATTTTCAAGCAACAATGTTGTCCAGTGAAAAATACACCTTCCTGAAACAAAAGATACTTTTTGTTCCCAAGAAGCTTTGTTGCTTCTTCCAGCAGCAAATGACTCAAAAGACACGCTCTGCCATCCTCAATAGTGGTTTTCAGGCCAAGAGGAACAGCAAATGAGGTACCAGCAAAAGCTTAAGAAACAAAACCAAGGTGAGTTAAGGGGCAGGGAAAAAAGGCGGAGTGGAAGTTAGAAATGGAATCTAAACTCCACTTGGTGATCTAAGAAATAGAGCCTTTACTGATGAATTGGGCAGAGGAAAGGTGGGAGGGGGTACAAGATAAGGGAAGACAATATTTTCTGTTACGGAAAAAAAAACAAAAACAAAAAACTGTGCTGCTATCCCGGTTTTCTTTCAGTAGCACCCAGAGACTACATGGCAAGCACAATCTAGTTTCGTGACGAAAACGGATTCCATGAGAATAACACAAGTTTCTATGTGATACAATGGAGATATCCAACCAAACCGAGGAACTATACAATTACATGACAATTCCTCAAAATTTTAAGTGCGTTCGGGTACCAAAAAAGAAGTTTATGATTATTCACAGGACACGGTTATTAGTTTAATATCACTAATTTGCAGGATATGCACCCGTCCTGTCATATCCTCTTTTAAAGAAACCGCTAATGACCTGAAATGCTATTAGCCCCTGTCTGCCAGGACTGTGGGCCTGACAGTCAGCGTCTCGGATAAAAACCAAACAGCGACCAGAAGTCAGGAAGTCCCTGGCGAATTCTTTTGAAGCACAGACCCTACAATTCCTGTGCCGGAGGCTAAAGATTGAAGTGTGTGCGGTTCCTCCTCCCTTCGGGCCGCGCGTCCGGAACGTTCCTGGCTGTCAGGTGGGTGGCGCGGGCCCGGCGGGAAGCCCTGCCCGGCCGCCTCGCGTGGCGCGCGACCGGAGAGGGGAGAGCCCCGCGGAGTACAGCGGGTCCCGAGGCCGGCCACCGCTCACCTTTGTTCGCCTGCCCTCGCCGGGAGAAGGAGAGAGCAGGGCCCAGGAGGAGGACAGGGGGCGACCCTAACGCTCTGAGGCTCCTCCCCGGCGCCCGAGAGGAAATCCGTGGCAAGCCAGACCCTCTCTGGCTCCCAGAAAGCCAGCCGGGCAGGGGGGTCAGCAACCCCTCTCCGAACACAAAGGTTGGGAGGCGTGAACGCGAGCGCTGGGGGCTCGGGGGCGTGCGCCACAGAGCACACGAGTGTGCGTGTGCGCGCGAGTGTGTGTGCGCGCGTGTGTGCGCAGGGGGAGGGGAGGAGGGGCTCCAGCCCTTCTTACCTCTCGAAGATGAGCCGCACCATGAAGATGCAGAAGGCGAGGGGAAAAGCGAGGTAGAGGTCCTCAGCCTGCGGGAAGGTGGCCTCCTCCGTGTTCTTCAGGTCCGCCCAAGTGACATTGTGCGGGAGCCAAAACCTCTCGTTCCAGAACCAGGCTAAGATCCCTGCCATCTTGCTTTGTCCACTCCTGTCCTGCGGCACCCGCAGCCCGCTGAGCTCTCCACCGCGCAGGGCGCCCAGGGATGCTCGCCCGGCTGGCCCCGAGCCTGTGCCGCCGCCGCCGCCGCCGCCGCTCCTGCCCGCAGCCGCCTCCTCCGCAGCCGCTGCTCTCGAAGGCTCGCGGCGAGCCCCGGTTCTCTCCTCCCTCTGGCCGCGCTGGGAAAAGGGGCCGCCTCGCCCGTCACATGGCAGCTCGGGCCGCCCGCCCTGATTGGCTAGTCTTCGCGTCAAGCAGCGAGGCACACACGCGGCCAACTAGCCCACGCCCGGAGGGAAGGGCTGCGCCCTAGGCGCAGGGGCACCGCTCCGGAGAGTGTCGCCTGCCCCGGCTGTCACCGCTCTCTCGCTTTGTGCTTACGGCGACGACCCGAAGTCGGCCCCCCAAATCCGCCCTAGCCTCCTGGCTTGCTCGCACATGCTCAGAACGCTGACTCCTGCCCCGCTCTGGTTTCCGGGCTCTCAGCCCTCTTCCTTGGCGCCCGGAGGCGGTAGGTCGGCAGGTACGGGCTGGGGCCGAGCTTCAGAACCAGCCCTGCTGGAGAGGACAGCAAAAGGAGAACTAGGGGGTAGAAAGTGCAAAGGAGGAAGTGGGAGGGAGAGGATCCTCCACTCCCGCGCTTGGAGAGGCAGGGTGAAAAATCAGGAACTGTGGCAGGATGGTTTGGCAAGAGCCTTGTGCCTCTGCCCCATGCCTGCCTTTCCCCAATCTTTGACTTTCTGGCCTCTTATACTACTACTTCTCATCAAAGTAGCTCCCCCAGGGAACAAGCCCCCCATGTTGATTTATGAGGTGGTACAAAAATTAGGCACTTAATTGCTATTTAATAATTGGTACTTGATGACAATAATGACGACGATGATAGCAACTGCAGCGTTCTGTAAAACCACCCTTCTCAACCAACCTCTCTGAAAAGGCTGCTAGGCCACATTTTGACCTTGCAGATTACATGAACCTCCACTCCACTCTGCTACTCGACAGGCTTCTTATTTCTGCCTTTTGAATCTGAAACCCTTAAGGCATAAGGCCTGTGAGGCCTAACCCAGGCACCTTCCCTCCCGCAATGCATTTCCCCATTGATACAGGAGCCATGTGTGAATTTGTTCCATGGCCCGTGTATACCTAGTTCTGGGGTATTTTTCTTCATTTTTCTCACATTTACTTTCTGCGTGGTGCTGCCAGTAAGCTATACTGAACCTTTCCAGTGGGCATATAACTGCATACACACGCACGTGCGCACACACACACACACACGAGTTTCTCTTAGTCTTCCTTCCTCTCTTTCCACCCTGTCTCTTGAAAGTGAAACTGAAGAATGGCCTGTACTGGTCCTTCCAATTTTTCTCCCCTCATTTTCATTTGAACTTCCATTTGGACATTTTGCCTCCTCTGCTGCATTGAAACTGCTCAAGGTCACCTGTGATCTTCATGCTGCTAAACACAAAGGTTAGTTCTTATCTTAGTTCAGGCTGCTTAGACTAGGTGGCTTAAACAGCAGAATTTATTCCTCACGGCTCTGGAGGCAGGGAAGTCCAAGATCAACGTGCAGGCAGATCCAGTGTCTGGCAAGGATCCTCTTCCTGTTTTGAAAATAGCTGTTTTCTTGTATACCCTCACATGACAGAGGGCACAGAAAGAGGAAGCAAGCTCTCCTGTATCTTCTTATAAGGGCACTAATCCCATTCCTGAAGGTTGTACCCTCGTTAGCTAATTACCCCCAAAAAACCCTATCTCTGAATACCATCACATTGGGAACTAGGATTTCAGCATATGAATTTTGAGTGGACACATTCAGTTAATGGCAGTTCACAACAGCTCCGTCAGTAGCATTTGGCCCAGTTGTCAGGTCCTCGGTGTTGAAACATTGTTGACTTGACTTCCAAAAACTTCACTCTTCTGGATTCCTTCCTCCCTCATGGCCACCTCTTCTCAGTCTCCTTCCTGATTACACCTCACTTTTCTAACCTCTAAAACTTGGAGCAGCCTCAGAGTCTGTCTTTGTCCTCTTCACTTTTCTATCTGAATGTATTCATTTGGTGATTTTATCTAGTCTCCTGGCTTTTAATGACATCTGTATGACCTCCAATGTCATGCTAATAGCTCCCATATTTATATCTCTAGCCATGAACTTTTTCCTGACTTTCTGACTCTTAAATCCACTGTCGATTTAACAACACCATTCAGATGTCTAAAAGCCATCTCATGGCCAAACTATTAATCTTCCCCTTAAAGCCTTTTCCTCCTATAGTCTTGATTCAAGCCAAAAATGTGGAGTCATTTTTTTCCCTTCTTTCTTTCTCTCGTACCACCTTTCTAATCCATCCCAGATGTCAGCACCATTTTAAAAACATAATCTCACCATCTGTCACCCACCTCCTCTGCTACCTTCTTGGTCCAAACAGCCAACATTTCTCATCCATGTTACCCCAGTAACCTCCCAACTTTCAGTTTCACCCTTTGCCCCTCTACAGTCTATTCTCAGCCAGTGTGATCCTGTGGAAATTTGTCAGATCACTCCTAGGGTGAAAACCCTGCTTCTTCTCCATCCCTCCCTAGTGAAATCCAAATTATTCCAATGACCTGTGATATTTGACTCCATATTAGCTCTGACTCATTTACTATTCCCTCTCCCTCACCCTGCCTGAGTCCACACTGACCACCCTGCCTTTCCCAGGACACACCAGCCATGCTTTAGAGCCTTAGAGCTTGCTTTTCTCTCTCACACAAATATCCATGTTTGTTCTTTCCTGTTGTCACTTTCTCTCCGAAGCCTTCCCTGGCCACCCTAGTTAATTTTCCTCCCTCTCTCCTCACCACCACTCCTCCCATCCTGCTTTGTTTTCCTCCGAGGCACCTACCACCATCAACACAAGATATATTGTACTTATATCTTCATTAATTGCCCACATACACGCACTAAATATAAGCTTCAGAAAGTTAAAAAATTTGTTTTTTATCAACTGTTCTATTCCTAGCACTTAAAAAACTGCCCAGCACCTAGTAGATAATCAATAAACTATTGAATAAATGAATCAACATTACTCCAACCCTAAAAAGTCTTCTCAGGGAGAAGAAAAAAATCTGAATAATTGTGTTAAATGTTTATATATCTGTGTTAGACTCGTGAAGAATAGCATGGGCATAAAGAAGGGATTGGTCAATTCTAGGGTGAGGGAGGTGAGGTATCATTGAAGTGAGTCTTCATTCGGGAGTAGAAGTCACCATCACCACTCCAGACCACGTGGCCAGCTGCTGAGTAACACTGGAACATGCCTTGGCACCAACTGCGTTCTCATAGGCCACAGGTAGAGGTTTGTTAAGACTTCTCACCACCTTTGTGGTCGAAAGTCATGTCACGGTGAACCTATCCTCTGGGAAGCCAGATTCTTCTGTGACTCCCTGTGGTTTCTCATGTCACTCCCTCCTGTATGACCTGATAGTACCTTGCCTCCTACCCCATGGTTTCTATGGTCTCTAGCAGCTCCTCCAGTTCACCAAGCATGTGTACTAGTGTTGGTGAGTTAATGCCCTAGGATCTGACTTTGATCTTGGGCAATGAAGACAATGGTACATTTTTATTCCTTTCTTTCCCACCCCTCAGACATACACAATGGCTTCAAACAGCCTCTCTGAAAATATCCCCTGGTACAAACCCATCATTTTATTTCAAGGTTGTGACCCACTGTGTAACTCACCCCCTTATATTTCCTCTCCTCTTTCTCATCTCACTCTCCTTTTCCTTCATTCCTGCTTCCCTGAAACTTAGAAGCTAAACTCATAGGAGAGCAAAAGATAATGTGGTTCTCCCATTCATCAAGTTTGAGAAGGTGGTGGGATTTCAGGAACATTTTGAAAGGTGAGTTTTGTTGGACAGTGGAAGGAGGCTTTAGTATTTTTTTAATGAATCTTGCACAAGTTCCTTTGTTTCTAAGAGCATGTTAATACCCTCCTGCATGATTTGTGCATCAACAGAACCTGTCTTGCCTCTGTCACTATTATGAGGCTCATATGAGATAACATATGAGAAAGTGCTTGTAAACTATTCCCCTCTATACCCATGTACAGTGCAGCAAACACCTCCTCATCTGTCTAGTAGAACTCCTCCAGCCAATGGCCCCTTCCTACCACCCTGCATCTAAATGTTTGCCCCAGAAGCATAATAGAGTAAAATATCATTCCAAATATGATCACATTTTATTGGTCCAGAGATGGATAATAGGCCCAAGATGGCAATAAAAGTCCTTTTTCAGGTGTTGTAAGTCAGGTCAAGACAGCCTTTCTCTGGATGCTTAGATTCAAGGATTCAAACTCAGAAGCTGTTGGCCCCCTTGCATCATTACAGAGCTAGAAAAAGTATAAGCTACTCTACAACAAGAGAGAAAAATAAAGCAGACCTGGAGAGTTAAAAGTAAGAGACACACAGAGAGTCCTTTTGGCACTGGAACTCCAGGTTCCATTTAATACCTAGGGACCACTGCCTTCTCTTCCTTAGATTCTATGAAACAGACGCATATCTTAATTCTGCTTTTGGGCTATGTTGCTGTTATTTCAGTTCCCAAAAGTCCCACTATCTAAGAAATTATTCTAAGAATAGATGTCTTTTTTTTTTCTTTTTAAGAGATGGGGGTTGTACTATGTTGCCCAGGCTGGCGTACAGTCCCACTACTGCTTAGCATGGGAGTTTTTATCTGCTCAGTTTCCAGTCTGGGCCAGTTCACTCCTCCTTAGGCAACCTGGTAATCCCCTGCTCCCAGGAGGTCACCATATTGATCCTGAATTTAGTGCAAACACCCAGTTGGCATAGTGCACTACAGCCCAGAACTTCTGGGCTCAAGCAGTTCTCCCACCTTAGCCTCCTTCCTGAGTAGCTGGACCACAGGTGCATACCACTGCACAGCAAGAGTATGCGTCCTTAACACTATCCTGAGCTCAGCTCAGGCCCTAAAGAAGTTAGTCACAGAAGAGGGATAGTATAGCATACCTCCAGAGAAAGCTACTTTGTAACTGTACAAGAAAGACTTCTAATTGTTGCCCCAGGAAACCAAAATACAAGTTATGCATCAGACTAATATGCAGCCCAGTGAGGAAGTAAGTAGCTGGTCAGTGAATAGAAGGGACAAGGCAAGAGAAAAGGTGAGCAAAAAAAAATGTGTTCAGTGGAGGTGACACCAACTAGACTGCATATTAGGAAAGCATGCTTTGTTTACGTAATAGAAAACATCACCTGAAAATACACCCTTATTTCCAAGCAACTTGGAAGTTGCCCGAAGTTTAGATGAATTTCCACTCTGGGTTGCGTAACACAAACGTATATAGTACTTGTTCTACAAAAAACATAAAAGCTATTTGGGGAGCAGAATCTGCTCACATGAAAAGCTAGAAAACAAAACATGCCAACACCACTGAAGATGGCCCTTGACAGTATGTGACAAGTATGCAGGTATTGCAGACAACAAGAGCTTTCTGCTCAAAGGAGGAAGGAGGCATTCGGTTTCGAAGGTATCAAGGGAACTTCAAGGAAGACGCAAAAA